CAGTTTTAGGAGGAAGCCTCTGTCTCTCTTCTCACACCGCCATCTTTAATCCATCCTCACTCTATAAATCTTAACATAAAGAACCGAGAGTTATGATGAGCAGTGTCTTCAGTATGTTTTGTGGAAGGTACAAAGCCACTGTTCAAATTCTGCTTGCTTGTATTGACCCCTAGAAATTGAGGGTATAGTATTAAACGTAACCCTGTAAAATCATTTTAGTGCAAAACTGTACCAATGGTATGATGCTTTCCGATGATGTAATTGTGTAGCATTGGAGCTGAAAAATGTATGGGTTAGCATTAAGCTTCCCCCACCCCAATTAGTTTTGTTGACTGCTTTAAGAGGACCAAATGGCAATCTTTCATACTGAATTCTTTGGCTGTTACTTGGAATAGGAATAGACTGTGTACTGTTGATTGAAGCTACAGGCCTCAGATAATAATTCAGAGGTTGGCTTGTGTTTTGGAATATCCTACTTACTAGAGGTGGTTTACAGAGATACTTAAGATAAGGGCTGTAGTTTTTCTCAATCAATATCTGTCTAAAAGAGTTATTTAATCTTACTATGCTGATGGACAGTGACTGTAATGGAGTATGTGGGGGTACTTGATAAAAGGGAGAGTCTAGTAACCATAATGTTGTTCAAGTAATTGTACATTAACGATACCAAAAAAAAAGAGTTATTTAGTGTCTTACTGAGAAAAATTCTGGCCTTGGGCAATAATATAACCTTGAAGTTTTAAGGGAGTCATTACTATTAGGATTCCAAGGCTACTAAGAATCTCCCTGTGGCTTTGGTTCAGTATTAAGAGAACTTTTTCATTTTGCTTTTTTGTAATTGTCTTTTGGTGGATCTTAACATCCTTTTTGTCTTTAAGCCAATACCACATTTTATTCAATGACAATATAGGCATGTGTGCACATTCTTCTAGAAATAGTCCAGAACAGCTTCTCCCTTTATAGCAGAACATCTAGTCAGTTTTTACCAGAGATTTAGGGCATATGAATTTATTTTTTATTAAGGTATCATTGATATACAATCTTATGAAGGTTTCATATGAGCAACATTGTGGTTACTACATTTACCCATATTATCAAGTCCCCTCCCAAACCCCACTGTAGTCACTGTCCATCAGCATAGTAAGATGCTATAGAGTCACTAGTCTTCTCTATGTTATACTGCCTTCCCTGTGACACCCTATACATTATGTGTGTTAATATGTCATACCCATTTTACATAAGACACTGAGACAGGTGCTGAGGATATAAGAGTGGATAAGATGGATAGAGTTCCTGGCCTCATGGGGCTTGGAGAAGGCTATGTGTGGTGAGCTAATTTTTAGCTGCATTTCAGCTTGGCACTACAAGGCATTTTCTGGTTGAAGTATTAAGTCTATTTTAGGGATCTGGGAAGAAGGTAGGATGGTAGGGTTTTACTTAACATAAAAGTAAAACTTATACCCATGAGACATAATATTGTATCTCATTTATACTCCACACAGAAAAATAAGTTAATACATTAGTTTAAATTTTTTTAGAAAAGCCAAAAACTATAGATAAACAAAAATATCACTTATAATAACACTACTTAAAGATAACTACCATTAGCACTTTGGAGTATATACTTCCACACTTCTTTATATGTATTTATGTATTTTTTTTTTTTTTGGAGTATAGTTTATAGTAAAATGCAGAGATCTTAAGTGCAGTTGATGAGTTTTGACAAATGTATACACCCATGTAAACTCACCTGAATCAAGAATATTGTCTTCTCCCTATGAAGTTCCTTCATGCCCTTTTCCAGTAATTCACTTCTCCAGAAGTAACTACTGTTCTAGTTTCTGTTACCATAGATTAATTTTGCTTGTTCTTTGATGTCATCTAAATAGACTCAGTGTATACACTTTTGTGTTTGGCTTCTTTTGCAAATGTATTTTTTTATTTTAATTTTTTAATGCACCATATCAGATGACACATATTGTCTGCTTGTTTCCTTTCTGTGTGTGTGGTAAGCTTGATCTGTAGGTTCAGGTGTGGTCAACCTGATCCATTGTTTACAGAGCTCCCCTTTATAGAGATCTCTTTATATTTTCTCCAGCTTTTTGCCTAAGTTTTAGCAGCCATTGGTGATCATTGCCTAGATCATCAGTTCATCAAGGGTTGTAAAATGGTGATATTTTAATTCCATCATTACTTCTGCATTAATCAGTTGGAATTCTTCTGTAAAGAAGAACTTTCCCTTACCAGTAATGGTTGGATATCTAGCTGAATACATAATTATTTCCTTAGATTTGGCTCCTAGAAATTGAACTGCATAGGCAATTCTATTCTTGAAGGGTTTTTATAAATATTACCAAATTGCTCTTAAAGCTGTGATCTCAGTCTACACCCCTACCATTGTTATATGAGTAAAATACTGTTTGCAACTTGTAGAAATGATGAAGTAAAACATGAGAGATGGGTAACACCGTAAATGTCTTTGTCAATCTGACCTGTTCATCACTTGGTTTTTTCTTAGTGCTCATATACTGGTATTGGGATGAATATAATGTGACATTGGAAATACTTGTGTGCATTGAATATGTATTGATTTTGAATTAAAAGGATAGATAATGTTCTTAGTAAAAAAAAAAACCCAATAGCTTCATTTTTTCTTACTGATACACAGTCTTATTTTAGTTTCCAATAGCTTCATTTTTATAATATTGACTATGTATATTAACCTTATTTCAAAATATAATAGCCCTCTTAGCTTAAACAATTACAATTAATTTTTTTTCCTTGCAGTGACATTTCTGGGGGAAAACCCCTGGAAGTCGAGATGGCAGGGATAGAGTACATGAATGATGATCCTGGCATGGTGGATGTTCTTTATGCCAAAGTCCATATGAAAGATGGCTCCAACAGGTATGTTTCTGGCATACTACTTGCTTTCAATCAAGTGGTGCCTAAAAGTATCCCTGAAAGTTCAACTCGGTTTGACTCATTTTCTTTGAGATCTTATTATTGTAAAGAATGTGCTAATTCTTCTGTTTTTTAAAAATAGTAATACATTTTTTAATATCTGGAAAGAGGAATTTGTTATAGGAAAAAAGTATCAGATTTTTACTCTGATAATGAGTGAGTTACTTACATGGTGAATATTGATAGTAGCAATCCGGTTTTTATGAAAACTCAGTGCTTCTTTCATGTTTCCAGGAAAACAGGAGGTAGGTAGGAAGGAAGGCTTTTTAGGGTGGTAGTTTCAAAAATGACATGATGCAGATCTAGTGAATATCAGGACAAAATGGGAATGATAACTATATAACCTTCATAGGATTATTAGACTTAAATTACTTTACATGAAATGCCTATAACAGTGCTTGGTACATACTAACATATTAAAACAAACATCAGTAAATATTTACTGTTTTTTTTTGTTATTACCACACTGAGATCCCTTCTAGGAATCCTCAGTCTGTAACCCACGCTGTTACTGAGGCTAGCCTAGGCATCCAGAGCCATTTCCAGTGTTAATGCCATGTATTAATCTACTTAAATCCTTTTGTAAGCAGAAGAAAACAACTTGATTTGGAAGTCTGTTTTTGTGTGGTCTTTTCAAGGCAGGATAGAACAGAGTTCATACTGAACCAGAGACCTTCTGGAGAAAATCTAGGCAGACCCCCAAATTTATTTATTTTCCTAGAGGATCTCTTCTAAGGTTTCTCTTACCTCAGCTCAAATTGACACTCAGTTCTCTCCTATCTCAATTCAATTAAAAGTAAATTTTGAGGGGAAGGGAGGAAAAAATGGTATAGAATCGAATTTTTTGTGTGTTCTAGATTAGATTTTTTTCCTGGATATCTGGCATGTGCCTAAAGAACGTACCAATGTCTTTGCCTTAAAAACTAGAGACACACTGTTATTTTAGGACATCCCAAAACATTTCTAACAGGTTGGAATTTGATACCTGGTATGGCTCATTTACTTTGTGTTCTAAGTCATAACTATATAAATGCCTTCAGCATAGAACAAATAATCCTAAAATTCATGTGGAACCAAAAAAGATCGTGAATAGCCAAAGCAATCCTGAGAGAGAAGAACAAAGCTGGGGGTATTATGCTCCCTGACTTCAAGCTGTACTACAAAGCTATAGTAATCAAAACAGCATGGTACTGGCACAAGAGCAGACCTATAGATCAATGGAGCAGAATAGACAGCCCAGATATAAACCCATGCATATATGATCAATTAATATATAAGGGAGCCATCAATAATACAGTGGGGAAAGATAGTCCCTTCAATAACTGGTGCTGGGAAAACTGGACAGCTACATGCAAGAGAATGAAACTGGATTACCATCTTACTCCATACACAAAAGTAAACTTGAAATGGATCAAAGACCTAAATGTAAGACATGAAACCAAAGAACTCTTAGAAGAGAATATAGGCAAAAATCTCTTGAACATAAGCATGAGCAATTTTTTGTGGGACTTATCTCCCTGGGCAAGGGAAACAAAAAATGAACAAGTGGGACTACGTCAAACTAAAAAGCTTCTGTACAGCAAAGGACACTATCAACAGAATAAAAAGGCAAACTATAGTATAGGAGAATATATTTGTAAATGATTTATCACAGAAGGGGTTAATACTCAAAAATAAAGAATTCATATGCATCAATATCAAAAAAAACAAATAACCTGATTAAAAAATGGGCAGAGGACCTGAACAGACATTTCTCCAAAGAAGAAATACAGATGGCCAAGAGACACATGAAAAGGTGCTCCACATTGCTGATCATCAGGGAAATGCAAATCAAAACCATAATGAAATATTACTTCACACCAGTTAGAATGGCCACTATCCAAAAGACAAGAAATAACAAGTGTTGGTGAGAATATGGAGAAAAGGGAACCTTCCTACACTGTTGGTGGGAATGTCAATTGGTGCAGCCACTGTAGAAGGCAGTATGAAGATTTCTCAAAAACCTAAAAATGCAAATGCCATATGACCCAGCAAATTCCACTTCTAGGAATTTACCCAAAGGAAATAAAATGCCTTATTTGAAAAGATATATGTACTCCTATGTTTATTGCCACATTATTTACAGTAGCCAAGATATGGAAGCAACTTAAGTGTCCATCAATAGATGAATGGATAAAGAAGTGGCACATATATACAATGGAATATTATTCAGCCATAAATAGAAAGAAGTCCTGTCATTTGGGACAAAATGGGTGAACCTAGATGATATTATGCTAACGAAACAAACCAGGTAGAGAAAGACAAATACGTATGATTTCACTTATTTGTGGAATCTAAAAACAAAACAGAAAAATGAACAAAAGGGTAGTAGACTCATAGACAGTGAGAAGTGACTGGTGTTTACCATGGAGGAGGGGTTGGGGTGGGTGAGGGGGATAAAAAGGCACAAAGCTCATAATATAGGTTGGTTATGGGGATGGTAGTACAGTGTGGGGAATATAGCCAATGATTCTGTAACATCTTCATGTGTTGATAGACAGTAAACTGCACTAGTAGGGGTAAGCATTTAATAATATGGGAAACTCTTGAACCGCTATGTTGTATACTTGAAACTAATATAAGACTATATAACAATGATACTTCAATAAAAAAATAAGTAAAATAGGGAATTTTTCCCTGTCCAGGACTTCAAATCTGTTTTAACATACATATGACATAGACTCCACACTTTTGAATTATCTTATTCTGCTTGTATAAATAACAAACAAGTAGAGAGGAAAAGGAAAAAGGAATAAATACAAATTCAACTAAAAAAGGGGCAAGAAGCACAGAAAAAAGTGGGATGAGTAGAAATTAAAATGTCAGATGGTTCAGCCATATGCTAATTATAATAAATGTTAAAGGAATAAACTCACCAGTTAAGAAAGATACACAATCATATGTAAACAAAATGCAGTTACATGCTCTTTACAAGAGATACATCCAAGAGTAAGGTTGGAATAATAGAAAGGAAAAAGATACACTAGGCAAATACCAGAAGAAAGTTGTCATTACAGAATTAATAGCAAATATGATAAGCTCAAAGAAAAAAATGGATTATTAGCAATAGAGAAGACTATTAAATAATGATAAAAGATTCAATTTACCAATTTGAGATGATAATTCTAAATATTAATGAGCCTAAAAGGACAGTGGACAGTCTGAAAGTAGATTAAGCCAAATTTGCATAAGTGATTTTTTTTACTGGGGAGAAATTGAGAAATCCATTGTCATAGGAGGAGATGGTACCGTATCTTCCAGTTGTTCATAGATCAAGCAGATACAAAATCAGTAAAGATACAGAAGATTTTAACAATTAAGTTTAATGTAATAGTCATCTCTGGAATTATATACCCAGCAATTAGAGAATTCATATTCTTTTCAGGTACATGGTGTAAGATAAATTCTAGCCGAAATAAGCAGGCGAAGAGAGGCAACAAAGGGCCAGGTAGTTTATTTGAGTGCAGTTCCTGGGCGAGGTTTCCTAGTCTACGAAATGGAGGCTGGGGAAGTCGCGCCCAGCAGGGCAGGCAGCAAGTTTTTAAAGAAGGAAGGGGGAGGGAGAGCAAAGGTATACAGTGGCACGAGAATTGGCTTGCCTATGGTACGTGGGGGTCTCTCATTAGCTTTTAGCCAGGTACTGGACAGTTACCACTATTCTTCTAGCCTGGGGAGGCCTCTAGTTAGGAATGTTATCTGATCAGTTTCTGGAATGTTGTCAGACCGGAACCTGTTGGTCCCTTCCTCTTGTTTGGTGAGGCCTGAGCTTGTCCAGTAGGCTCACTCCTTCCCCTGGTGCCTCCAGCCTTACACATGGAACAGTTGAAAAATATTGACAACATAGTAGCATAATAAATTTCAATAACCAGAAATAAAACAAGGTTATCTATAATTACCAAGTTATTAGAATTAATAAGACACTAGCAAAGTGATTGGCTATAAAATTAGTATAATAAAATCAGTTGTTTTTCTTTACACCAGTAACAAACAGGAAACATTTAAAAAAGGCAACATCCATTTACAGTAGTTAACAAAAACCTTATGTACTTAGGAAAAAATGTAACAAAGTATGTGCAAGACCTTTTTGCAGGAAATTATAAATTATAAATATAGAGACTGCCCCTGTTCAATGACAGATTTAGTTGGATTAAAGATGTCAGTTCTCCCCAGATGGTTCTGTATAAATTTAATGCAAATATATACTATATATATAATTGAAATGAGGAGCCAGGAACTGGAGGAGGGGTATTTAATAGCCATTATAATAATCCAGGTGAGAAGCAAAGTAGATCTGAAGTAGAACAGTGGGAATGAGATTGATACATGAATGCAAGAATAGTAAAAATCTAGTTAATTTGGCAATTTTCTGAATATTGTAGGAGTTAGATGAATACGATCCATTATGACTATGCTAGTTTATCTCAGGAATGCAAAGATAAAGTAAAACCAGGAAATCTAGTAATACCGTATTCAATAGATCAAATTTAAAAATAGCTAATTACATGCCTAAAAGGCTTTTGATGGAATTTATCCCATTTTTTTTTCAGTAAAAACGCTCAGAAAGTAGAAATAGAAAGATATAGGTATACCTCGGGGATATTGTAGATTTTGTTACAGACCACTACAATAAAATGAATATTGCAATAAAGCAAGTCAAATGAATCTTTCGATTTCCTGGTGCATATAAAAGTTATGCCTACAGGCGGCTCCGCGGGGTAAGGGGCCTGCGGGCTGGTGGGGAGGGCGGCGCTCAGTGCTCTGCTGCTAGGGGCCCGGCTGTGGCTCCCGGCGGCTCCCGGCGGAGCCCGACGCAGGTCTTCCCGGAATGGAGGGGTGGAGGGAGGGGCCGGCTGCGCCAGCGAGTGGCGGCCTCGGTTCCCCACGGCGGTCTGCCCGTCCCGGGC